TGAGCGATCCGTATTTCTACATCGACAACAATGATGTTGCAGACACTGATGGAGGGCTTCTCACGGCGCAAAACAGAGCGTAGTATTCTCAGTACTCTACCTTGCCAGACGACACCAAGCTGGCTGCTGCCTGTGTTGAGAAAGGGGATCCCTAAAAACTCAAACCGGCTGAACGCTTTGGGGCAACATGTTCACGTGCTACAAAACGCGAGCATTCGCTCATATCATTGAAATACATGTACAATTATGCTGAAATCATGGTCTGAGTGAAAGTGTGCAAGGGAGTGGATGTCAGTAGTATTGATCAGTACATCTATCAGTATGGCAAGCTTTGGGACAACGCCCAAACTGCCAGCGCAGAGGTCCCTGAACACAATTTGGAAGGCCAGCCACCAATCATCGTTTTGCACTCTGGTGTTGTAAAGAAGGTAGTGATGTATACGGAATATCGTCACTGTGACTTCTGAACTACTCATGCCTGCACAGGCTGCAGCACCAAGAGGGCAAGCCTGACTTGCATTCTATTTACTTACATGTACCTGTTCCACATCACAATCAGAAACTGTAGGATCAACTTGCATGGAGTCACTAGGCATGGATGCTGCGCCAACTGTACGGAATCTTGACCTCTCTGACTTCAAACTCTATTTTCCATGCTTTCGCTTATCAGATTGTCACCAAACTTGATAACTTGAATGATTAATAGTGTAGAAACAATTTCGAGGGAAAAAATAATTTTTGAAAAAATTACACATGTTCAGGTTTCTGCTGGCTGGGGCTCATATAGTTATGTGTTTTTCTAATTTCCAACATTCCCTGTACTATCCTGAAGAGAAGGGAAAGAAAACGTTTGATAGAAAAAGTGTCTACTGAATTGTGTGGATTTGCGTCGTTGCATGCGAATACGTATTACGAAATTATTATTATTATTATTAACACAATGTATTAAAATGCAATACAACATACACTAGAGAAGAAATCAGGAAAATAAAATATGAGCTCAAAAATGGAACGAAAAATAGAATCAAAACTCACGATGGAATCAAACTCACGATGGAATCAAACTCATGATGGAAACTACAACCCAATGAGTTGGAAACTTTATTATTATTATTATTATTATTATTTTATTATTATTATTATTATTATTAAGCTTACGTTGAGATAAAAATGTAATCAACGCAATAAATAGAGTAAGCTGCGCACTCAGTACAAACACCATTAGCAAAACTTGTTTTCATGTAAATAACTAAGCTTGTTCCTAACCGTTTTCGTCGCCATCTCATCAGAGGATTACTGGCAAATCAAAACTAGCTCTAAACTCAATAATACGCAAAATGCAAGTAATAATTTAGACCCTAACTAGCGCGATAAATTGAGAGCTGAAAGAAACATTACATCAATCAACGATATCAGGTGACAATAGATGCGATAAATTCACCACTAGAAAGTAACCACAAACGAGAACTACTGATCTAAATTCACAAACAATTTCAACGTAAACAAATTATTTTTCTGCATACACAAAATCGGCTTGGTGGTAAAAATGTAGATAGACTCCAATACACGCAGATACCTTTGACTACGTGAACGAGACCAAACAGAAAAGCAATCATCAGTATAACTAGAACGAAAATCACTATTCTGAACAAGATGGTTTGCAACAGAAGATTCAATTTGTTTCAATTTGTTTGATGTAATGTTTCTTTCAGCTCTCATTTTCTCGCGCTAGTTAGGGTCTAAATTATTACTTGCATTGTGCGTATATATATTGAGTTTAGGGCTAGTTTTGATTTGCCAGTAATCCTCTGATGAGATGGCGACGAAAACGTTTAGGAACAAGCTTAGTTATTTACATGAAAACAAGTTTTGCTAATGGTGTTTGTACTGAGTGCGCAGCTTACTCTATTTATTGCGTTGATTATTATATTTTTATTATGTGGCTAAAGAAAGGTTCAGCGACTCACTTGTTTCATACGAGATGAATCAATGAGTCGGTGGTGCTTAGAATCTTTCGCTGTAGAAGAAATCTATTCGTATATCCATTGGAGAAATATTTGTATGTAATGGATATAATATAGGGTTAAGACAAACTCACAGAACAAATACCATCACTGCATCAGTCCCTTGGTGTTCGTCCTCAAGAGGTTTGACTGGATATCATTCATACTCACCAAAAGATGTGTAACATTTTATTATTATGGAGTGCCTTGTTTATCTCTCAGTACCTCCAACCATAGCCTGGCCCCTTATACTCTCAGGATCAGTGTAGTTGTTGGAACGAGGTGTCGGACTCAACAATGTATTTGTTTACATTTTAATACATGTTTATTGTTCCTCCTTTGCTGTGTTGTTTTAGACATTCGTGGACTAACACTTTGAAGTCATTAAACTACATGTACTTCCAAAAGTTGTATCGACATCAACAGGATTACGGTTTCCGTGCAATATGATGCAAGATGACCATATCACGACAACCCATGACTACAATTATAAACACAGAATCAACAAAATCATCTGCGACACGCACCTGGTTACATTTCTCAAGTAAATGTGATTGAGGGTGTGGAAATCTGAAATATCGGAAAGGCAAGACAATTTTATGACAGTCATGAAATTCTGCAACATCCACAGAATGACCTGCGTATAAAAAACGTATCGCCACCACTACTCACATGGTTCCCCCTCAGCTCAGAAGAACATGATCATGCAAGTGCCATTTTCTGCAAGAAAAGGCTTGCATATCAATGCGTATACCGGTAGTACGGTATTGATATGATGGAGACTCGAGAGGCGCTGGGCCTGTAGGCTAGGCCATCATTTAGGGCATTCCATTGCATGATTTGTGACATAAAAAAACAAAATAAATTATAGCAATAAAAACTGCTTTATGGCAGTTTTCTAAAAAATGTTATTGGGTTCTATTCCATGGAACCCGTCTAAAAAGTAAGAAATTAACGAATTGTGAAACTGTAAAAGCCCTTATATAACGATTTCCCAAAATCGACTGGCTTACGTGTACCAAAAAGGTAACGGTTCCCACTTATTTTCAACGCTCAATGGCCTATTGAACGGTTTATGTGTTGATTTATGTATAACGATTTCTATTTTAACGACAGATTTCTCCTCGTTAACTCGTTAGAGTTAGCACTTTGTTATAAATATGGCTTTTACAGTAGCCAAAAATTAAAATTTCACGCAAAACCTCATAATAATCACAACACTTCGTGTTTTGTATAATAGAGAGGTTAAGTTTCACAACACTTGTCTTGAAATGCTGCTTTCAACACTAAACATACATGCATGAGAAAGAGTATCACGAGGGGAAAAGGTCTTCTGGCTTTTCATTCTGTTTGTGATTATTGTGAGGTTTGTGTGAAATTTTAATTTTCGGCTTTCATATTTCGTTAATTTCTTACTTTTTAGACGGGGTCCAACACAATAACGTTTTTTAGAAAACTGCCATAAAGCAGTTTGTATTGCTATAATATGCATGGCTCGATCCAAACGTGACAACTGAACACCATGCACACATCGAATAAATGCACAACATAGAAACAGAAATCTTCGAACAGAACAAATAGGGAGGTTTCGCTCTACGGAATGACGTATGAAAATAACGAGGAACTGCACGGAATTTTCATACGTAAATATCAGAGCTGTTGGGTTTCGCTCTACGTGATTTCTCCACGACTGCTAAACATGCCTTGTTGCTTTGGAGACGCGTTGGCTTCATGCGACCGCCGCATGCACCATGAACCGAAACCGCGTTTCCCTTTGTACATGTTTTTTGCACGTGGTGTACGGTGTGTGTACCTTGTGTTTCGCGCGGCTCGAACGTTGCCATGGACAAATTCGGAAAATGCGAAAAAAGTATTTCAAAAAGACCTACGGAGGACCCAACGTAGGAAGCAGCTTTCCTACGGAAACCCGTAGAGAGACTTACGTATGAAAGTTGCCATCGCTCCCCGGCGAGTACGACATACGGATTTTCATACGTAATTACGTAGAGCGAAACCTCCCTATTAACAAAGTAAGGGGCCGGTCACATTGAGGGAACAATCCTCAGATTATAAACCGGGAACAATTTTTTCTGCTTTTCATCACGGCCACACTGCATACGCACAATGAAAAAATCTCACTCACACGAGCAATTTTGTTGTCACCATTCGCTTCTGGCAGTCTGTCAGCCCCGCTCCTGGGCCAGAGCTGCATCAGCACAGTCTCTATAGTATCGCTCCACTTCATATCGCAATAAAAAAACAAGGAAACTCAAAGAAATCCCGTAGAATCCGCGGATGATTATAATCTTCGGCGGAAAAGCGAGGCCTCGAGCTGATTTTCATCGAGTGGATTAAATCTCTCAAATCTCCCGCTCAGCGGCAAATGTCCATGGTAACCACGGAATTTTTTCAATTTTTCCCTCAGTGTGACCGGCACCTAACAGGAATGTAAGATTGTTCATAACTATACAGGTATTCAACGACTTTCACACTCAATAGTGGTTGCGCGACAGCGAGCAAACAGACGATCGTGGGATAGGAAGTCGTACGTGGGGAGTAGTATGACCATAATTCTAGTGATGGGGTCACAGGTCAAGCTCAGTGAAAAGTAACACTTGGTTACATGGTCACGTTTTGTCACCAGGTGCGACCTCTTGTTTAGAGACGTCAGTCAAAAATGTCAAAACCAGCTTGCAGTCACGCCACACTGCTAACGTGCAATCCATCACCACGGCTAACGTGTCATCCATCACCACGGCTAATATGTCATCCATCATCACTGCGCGCCAAAACAAATGACATCAGCAGTGTACAGACCCTGTGTCCTACACCTCTAGCTACATGCGTCACGATTACGGCCATGTTATGCCCCCCCCCCCCCCCGTACCTGACAAAATATCTGTTTGCCCCGCGATGACACTGCCACCTGCACTTCCCTTTGTGCTATCAATCTCACACCACGATGAATCTAGGCCCTTTATCAGTTGAACGGGTCACATTGTAACAGCATTGTTTTTTATGATTGCTGCCCATTTGGAGACTCTTCGTCTAAAGTCATTGTACAGAGATGCCGTCCAGCCGGGAGCGGGATGCCAAAAAGCGGGATGCCAAAAAGCAGGAGGCCAAAAAGCGGGATGCTGAAGAGAGAGATGACCAAGAGCCGAGCTGCCAAGAGCAGGGCGACCAAGAGCTTGTCTCAAAAGCCCAAACCAGTCCATGGTCTGATTCCCAGCATTGTAAAGTTCATCACGTCAAAGAACTGGACGCCCAAGAGCGGGATACTCAAGAACTGGACGCCCAGGATCGGGATACTCAAGAAATGGACGCCCAAGAGCGGAATACTCAAGATGCCCAAGAGGGGAATACTCGACATCCCCAAAACCCAAAACGGCCATGCTTGGATCCGAGAGAGGAACGCGATCAAATAAGTGACACTGAAGAGAGTGATTCCAAAGAGAGTGACGTCCGAATAAGTGATGCCCACAAGAGCGACGCCCAAGAGAGTGACGCCCCCGGGAGTGACGCGCCGACCACTGCCCCAGAGAGTGACGCCCAGGAGAGTGATTTTCAAGATGCCCAAGAGGGGAATACTCAACATCGCCAAACCCCGAAACGGCCATGCTTGGATCCGAGAGAGGAACGCGATCAAATAAGTGACACCGAAGACAGTGACTCCAAAGAGAGTGACGGCCAAAAGAGTGATGCCCACGAGAGCGACGCCCAAGAGAGTGACGCCACAGAGAGTGACGCCCCGGCCAGTGCACCAGAGAGTGACGCCCAGGAGAGTGATTCTCAAGATGCCCAAGAGGGGAATACTCAACATCGCCAAACCCCAAAACGGCCATGCTTGGATCCGAGAGAGGAACGCGATCAAATAAGTGACACTGAAGAGAGTGATTCCAAAGAGAGTGACGTCCAAAGGAGTGATGCCCATGAAAGCTACGCCCAAGAGAGTGACGCCACAGGGAGTGACGCGCCGGCCAGTGCACCAGAGAATGACGCCCAGGAGAGTGATTCTCAAGATGCCCAAGAGGGGAATACTCAACATCGCCAAACCCCAAAACGGCCATGCTTGGATCCGAGAGAGGAACGCGATCAAATAAGTGACACCGAAGACAGTGACTCCAAAGAGAGTGACGGCCAAAGGAGTGATGCCCACGAGAGCGACGCCCAAGAGAGTGACGCCACAGAGAGTGACGCCCCGGCCAGTGCACCAGAGAGTGACGCCCAGGAGAGTGATTCTCAAGATGCCCAAAAGGGGAATACTCAACATCGCCAAACCCCAAAACGGCCACGCTTGGATCCGAGAGAGGAACGCGATCAAATAAGTGACACTGAAGAGAGTGATTCCAAAGAGAGTGACGTCCAAAGGAGTGATGCCCATGAAAGCTACGCCCAAGAGAGTGACGCCACAGGGAGTGACGCGCCGGCCAGTACACCAGAGAGTGACGCCCAGGAGAGTGATTCTCAAGATGCCCAAGAGGGGAATACTCAACATCGCCAAACCCCAAAACGGCCATGCTTGGATCCGAGAGAGGAACGCGATCAAATAAGTGACACCGAAGACAGTGATTCCAAAGAGAGTGACGTCCAAAGGAGTGATGCCCACGAAAGCTACGCCCAAGAGAGTGACGCCACATGGAGTGACGCCCCGGCCAGTGCCCCAGAGAGTGACGCCCAGGAGACTGATTCTCAAGACAAGAATGACTGGTACCAACTTTTCCTGAGATTTCCCCCGGAGCCGCGCTGTGATCTTGAAGACCAGTGCTCACAACAGCAGGAGTTGAACATCCCACGCCAGGAGCAGGACGTCGCACAGGGGGAGGTCGAACATTGGGAGCGGGAAGAGCTGCCGTATGAGCTGTTGCAACAGATGAAGCAGCATGACGAACAGCAAAAGCGGGATGTACAACAGCGAGACGACCAACAGTGGAAAATGGCGGACGAACAGTGGAAGGGGAATTCCCAACAGCAGGAGGTGGATATATCAAAGTGGAAGCGGGCGGTCCAAAAATGGGAGCGGCACGCCCTAAGGCGGAGGCGGGATTGTGACCAACCTCTGGAGAGTGATGTCCAACAGCGAGAGCGGGAGCTGCAGTATCAACAGCGAGAGGGGGAGCTGCAGGTCCAACAGCGAGAATGGGAGCGCCATGTCCAACAGTGGGAGTGGGAGCTCCATGTCCAACAGCGGAAATGGGAGCTGCAGGTCGAACAGCGGGAGTGGGAGCTGCACATCCAGCAGCAGGAGTGGGAGCTGCACATGCAACAGTGGGAAAGGGAGCTGCACGTCCAACAGCAGGAGTGGGAGATGCACGTTGAACACCAGGAGTGGGAGCGGAAGGTCCAACAGCAGGATTGGGAGGTTCAAGGCCATGAGTTCAACAGCGTGAGTGGGACGTCCAACCGGAGCCTTAGTTCCAAAAGCGGAGCGTAGAGACTAAGAAGAACGGGGTGATGTAGAACTGCCACAACCACAGCTATCCTGGGACACTGATTCTGATTCTGATGTGGCGCAGGACAACCGCCACAATCACACTCATTCTGGGATACTGATTCTGTTTCTAACGGCCAACAGCGAGAGCAGGACTAAGGGTGGCACGCCAACGTGCAGGACGCGGAAAATGCAGGGCACAGAATGACAGCAATACTTAGATACTATTTCTGAATCATTGCATTGAATATGTTCTATCCACCAACCATTGCTAGATGATGGTCTTTGACATAAAATACAAAAGTGGCAGTATGTCATGTACTCATGTATGAATTTCCAGCAATGTTGCATGGCTTGTTCAGATATCCATCTCACATCATGATTTGCTCGTCTTTTCTTGTCTAAATACGTACGCTGTGTACTTTGTATGTTATGTCTTGCCATCTGATCCTCGTTCGGAATTCTCTGCCAAGTCCGAGACGAATAATGGCACACCAGATGTTTCCGAGGCTGTTGTTAATTCATCTGTAATGTTCGTCCGACTTTCTATGTATTATACAGGAAGCACTCGTGTGCCATACCATTTCAGTACACCATTCTGCACAAGACCGAACACTCGACAAAATAAGCTATCACAACTGAATGTACGACAATGTGTCATGCTGAACATGTGTACTGGTGTGTTTATGTGCATGTGTGCGCGTGCGTGCGTGTGTTCGTGTGGTGGGGGGATTGTTCTTTTATTCCCGTTCTTTAGTAGTAGTAGTAGTAGTAGTAGTACCCCCCCCCCCCCACCCCGCCACACAGCATCAGGATGACGGTTATTTTATGACCAAAACGGCGAATTGAATGTTTTCGGAAATGAGTTTGTAAAAAGCAGTGATTGAGTGTGAGCCAGTGTTGCTCACAAACCAATTTTTACTAACGAAGCTGCGTAATGCGTCCTACAAGATTTTATCTTGCAATTGTATTCTAAAATTGATTTCACTTCGTAACTTCGTCTTGCTATCTACTACGCCCACCAAAGTACAACAGCATGTCCTCTCCATTGCTGGGCTATTGCAAAGAATGGCGTCTAGCGATATCAGTGGGCATTTTACGGCAGCCTTGTGCGGCAGAGCGTTTCGTGTGATTCATGGCTTTGGTCGTTTAAAATACCCCACCAACGAATTCAACAAAAGCAAAACATTCTTTACGCACTTGGAAGTAGCGACTTCGGCGATACTAGCGGTGACGTTGTGGTCAGGTGGGTTGCTGTATTACATTTTCGGCGAATTAAGGGTGAAATTGGTAAATTCGGTGCAAAAAATACTAGCGGTGACATTAGTGCTGTCTGTCTCGTACGGCTTGTAAGTTCAAGCATGGCCCCAACTTTGGCTGCTGGATGCTAGCCCAGTGGGCGCCCATCTCTGGCCTTCGGCCGAGTGCTGGTGGATAATTATTTCTGACGTGACGCGAAAGTTCAGCTCATGTTATTTGGCTCGCGCGTCAAAATAATGGGAGTGACAAGCAGCCCACGTCGAAATTTGTAGTTTTACGCAAATTTGACGTAAAATTGCGCGTCACGTCGGAAATAACGCGCATCTTAACCTGTCCATTTACGCCGAGAAACTTGTGTTCGTGTCAGACAAACATGTTTTAGCAGGCCTTTCCTAGGTGCACTATAGCAGCGTATGGGGGAGGGGCGGGGGTGAGAATAAAGATTCACACAAACATGCATTGCTTCTCCGCAGTAAAAATAACAAGATTATGCAGGGAGAAATGTTCCTGCAGAGTACCAACTGACAACAAACTATAACCTAGAATGTATGTGACGTTTAACTGAAAAGCCTTGAAGCCAGAACAATAGTAATAATTATGGACGACTATAGAAGATTGCATATTCCATAGTGCATCAGGAAAAATAAAGGCAGTTCCCAGATTCCTGGAATGCTAAGCACCACAAGTATAGAGCAATAGCACAAAGGCAGAAGACAACAGTAACAAGCGATCAATTACAGTTCTAACACTGTGTTTCATGCACAAGCACATACAGCAAAGCTAAGGTACACCTCAGACAACTGTTCATCATCTGGCTATAGGCATATTTTTATTTATTTTTATTACCCAATGCTGTAGACTGCAAGCTGTTTCGGTCATAAAGGCCTGAATACTGAATAGTGAATACCGAATAACACAGAACCATCAGATGCTGCACAGCAGCGGCGTTGGCATTACACGTCTAGCCAGAGCAGAGGCAAGACGTGAAGTGCATTATGTAGCAAAGTGCTGGCACATAAATTAATAATCCTATTACACTGTATGTGGATATTCGGTTAAGACAACACACAAAGAATAATGTGCTCATGTAATCAAGTAGCGTGCTCCACTTTCTGTGGACATGCAATGTAAGTTATATCCATGGCGGTGCAACAAAATTTTGATTGATGTTTTTTGGATTCAGAGCAACAATGGACACGGCGAGAAATCTTGTCATGCCCTTTGCTCAGGTGGCAAGAGGGTGTTCATCTGTGCAAGACGCTGAGAGTACTTACCCATATCCTTGATCATTAGGCAGAGCTTGCGATACCCATCTTGTTCTTGGGACATGATGTACTCCAGTACTCTGTTGTTGTGCTCGTGTGGGCCCTCGTTCTTTTCGACGCGAAGCAAAGTGCTGACTTGCGCTGCTGTCAGAATGTGCTTTCTCATGGCCTCCTTGCGGAACGCCCCTGCTGGAAGTTTGCACAGCCACTCATGTAACTCTGTCTCGTATAGCGCATGCTCGAACGGGTTGCTCCATGCGCCAGCACTTGCTTCTGCATGATCGGGAAAGAGAGATTTACCAGTAGGATAAGAAGAAGAAGTCAACATTGGCAATTAGGCCAAGGCCGTTTGAGTTCTCAGATGGCACGTGTTCATCATTCCTCTTACAGTATTATGCAAAAACTACACGCAAAAATCAGTCACTTTTGCATCAACTGTTGCACCGAAACATGTTGGTGGTGCAAGGAGAAGCTTGTCGTTTGGAGCGACAAGTGATCGCGGCTGCTTTTCCTTGTCAGAGTCAACAATACACTACTCCTTGTTTTGCAGCGTTGGGAGTGGTGTTGGAGTAGAAATTGCTGACTAGACGTCGCGGAGGGGCGAGCTTTCCTACGCAGGTATGAGTTCGGGCGTATTTCAGCAGGGTCGAGTGGAAAAATTCAAAATTATTTATTTCAAGAAAACCCAAAAAGGATGATGGGGGACATGTACTCAGTGCTAGAAGAGGTGTTGTACTATCTGCCGGTGTATAGTGTTTGCTGATTGAGGACGTAGCTCGCTGTTTTATCAGCGCTTGCAATTTGGCTATTTTCAAGACGATCATTTGTGGCGTCAAGGGATGATGACCCTCGTCTTCTGGGATGCTGGCGTGGCTAAGGGGTGCTACCTCAAGAACTCCTCTGACGTGAGGTAATGTTGTCTTGATGGAGTTTTTTTCGTAGCTTCTTCTTGTATGCTGTACCGTGGCTCGTTGTAGACCCATAAATCGTGCCAACATTCGGCCCATATTGAGGGTATGCCAATTTCATGGTTCCCTTCAAACGATTTTGCGTGTTTCTTTGGAATGTCGATCTACATCCCACAGCAAACCTACCTGCAAAATTTGAGCGAAATCTGAGATCAACTTGCACAAAATTTTTTGCCCTGTCGACGTGTTCGCGAAAATGCATAAAAGTCTATCCGTACTATCATTTCAATATTCTACCTGCACTAGTATTGTGGTCTCGGACCATTGATTTCTTCCAATGAGAGTGAACGCCGCAAGACCAGAGAATGTTACAAACAACAATAACTGAAACTTACGAAGATAACAGTAAGATAAACTAACCTCCAATGTCCAACGGTAATGCGGTAGCAGCTCCACTTGACCTGCACAGGACCAAAAGTGAAAAATAGACGGCTCTCAATAAAATATCTGCGACCTCACACACACTTCCCTATGCATAAAATAGAAGACCCAAAACAACAATCTAAAATTTCTGGCGATTTGTTTTCTTTTCAGGTAGTTCACTTCACAGAGTGATCCTTTGCCGGAATTTGAAGTTCTCCCTATCCTTTCAAAAATGATGATGATTATTATGTCCCCTTTCTTCACATCTTTCGAAGGCGATAAGCCAGACCCAGCGGGAAGATATTTCCATGGGTGGGACTGCAAAAAGAAAGTGAACAAATATAAAGCTAAAAACCAAAGGGACAAGAAATAGGGGAAGGAAGAGGAAGAACGGAAAGAACCTCAATCCGAACTCCAATAGCAAAACAATAACTTTTGCAGCGACAGGTATTCTACAAGTGATAAAATAATAAGGACGTCCAGATCGGTGGTCAAAACTTGAAACTTGGTGAGCCGAATGATGTTGTTATGGGGATTATTAAGACATTGGAATTCGGAATTGGTACCAGGCTATTACTGACGCACCTAGAGTCCGCTCTGAAATAGCACAAGGGACAAAAGGGACAAAAGCTGACACCAGGACTCAAGTATGGCCTATGCAAATTGTAGCCAAGTGCAACTGGCAAGCGTTAGAGTGCTAAACTTGCCAGCGTCAGAGTGCTAAATCAAAGTTTACATCAACCAATGAAGGGAGTAACAAAGGAAATATCTTTATCAGTCGTTATTCAAGTCTCTTGGCTATTGAACGAGGAAACGAAGCAGATGTGCATCCACATGTTAACACTTTGTAGCCTGCAAAGTCAAATATCGACGGTATACCGTCGGGGGACTAAAACGTTCGAAACTCACTCGAAACTTGACGTAATTCCACAACATATCTAAGAAGAAGCCGAAGAGCTCAGCTTTCTAATGCAACAATCGCCTCAGAGCTACAATGTCGCGTTGCAGAGTTATCGCGCTGATAATTTCAGCAAAGTCGAACATTTTCTCAGTGACTGGCCTTGAGACTTGCGTGAGGGATTTCCCCTTTGGATGAGATGCTGATTCACTCAGGCAGGCTTCCTGCACTTGGCCAGCTTAAAACAAAACTCACCGCAAAACAATTGAGTGTACCGCGATAAATGAGAGTGAAATGGCTGGCGTCGAGGGAATTTGCTCCTTTATCCAGCTCTGTGGACTGTTCGAGGCGCCGTGGCGTTGGATATGTGACTGCCGTGGTGTTGAATTTGAGCTCTAGTTACCCTGCTGGCGGAGTGCTTTCCAGTAAGCCCAATATTATGGAAATCCAAAAACGAACACCAAAGTTATGGCCAAAATAAGGTGAAGAATATGTCGCAATTGCAGTTGCATACAATGGCACCTATGCATAATTTTCCCGCGGTTTTTTGTGCGGGGCAACTTCACGACCTCGACACTGTACTTGCACCACGCAGCGCAGCATGCAGTCTCATGCATGCACGCGTGGAAACTCTGATGATCGTAGAGCCCTACGTACGTACCTGCTTCGCGTTTGCTGAGGCTGAAGTACAATGTACAATTTTTTTTCCATTGTGTTGGTGAAGAATCAAACTCAAAGCAAGACATTTATTTCCTTCTTGGAAGGCAAGGGTTGTCACAGTTTGCTGTTGTGTATAAGTAGCAAGTTAGTTAGAGATCAGTAAGCAGCTGACACAATCATGCCAAGCAACGCTCATTGTATCGTCCCTGGCTGCTCAAATCGTAAAAGCAGCTGCAAGTTTGGTTTGTTTGAAACTGATGATGCGAACTCGCAAGGACGAAAAGTGTTTGTGAAGCGTCGTCTATGTGGATCAGACCTGGCTCGTGTTGGCTGCGGAGGAACAGCAGAGGTCTGTAAAGCTGTATCTTTTCATCGTTTGCCTAAAGATTCGGATCGACGCCGGCATATCAGGGCCGAGTGGCTTGCCAAAATACCAAGAGTCAACACTCCTCTTTCTGGAAACTCGTATGTCTGTGGGGTGCACTTTCCTGGTGGTCGACCTGTGACGGAGGACGAGCCACCTTCCCGTTTCTTGGACAAAGCCGTCGTAGTGAAGAGGAAGAGCCGTGTTTCGACAGGCGAAGTCAGTCGACCCGTTGAAGCGATTGATATTGATGACGATGTTGATTTACCAGTCACAGATGAATCGGTGCCTGAGGCTGCAACACTTTTAGCTGACCATGATTATGGTGAAGTTCCCGTTCTCCAAGAGAACAAAATAAAGACTTTGGAAGCACAAGTGGCTAAGTTGCGGTCCCAGTTGGAGCAGGCCTTGTACAATTTGGATGAATCGGAAGAAGCTTTGCGGAAATGCCAACTCCATTACTCGAACATCCGACATGACAACAAGATTGTACTGTTTTACACGGGCCTGAGTTCTCTGGCGTTTGACTTGTTGCTGGATCAGTTGCGGTGTGGATGTCAAGACATGTGCTTTGCTACTAAAGTGCCAGCTGATTTCCTTGGCCAGGACAGCCGTGGCAGACGAAGAGCATTGGTGTATGAAGACGAGTTGCTATTGACCCTTGTCAAACTTCGGCATACTTTCCCTGAGTCAGATTTAGCACTGCGATTCGGAATAGATCAATCCACGGTGTCCCGAATATTTTCAACGTACATTCGTTGCATGTACTTCTCTATGAAAGAAGTGGACATTTGGCCGAGCGGGGCTCTGATTGATCGCTACATGCCCGACGTCTTCAAAGACAAGTACCCACGCACCCGGGTAATTATTGACGCAACAGAGTTTCCCATTGAGAAGCCAGCCAACCCAACTGTACAAGCAGCCACCTGGTCGAATTACAAAAACAGGAACACTTTCAAACTGTTAGTTGGTGTGACACCTACCGGTGCAATATCGTTTCTGTCTCCTCTTTATGGCGGGCGCATTTCTGATAAGAAACTGACAAAGCGAAGTGGGCTAATGAAGTTGATGGAGAAGGGTGATGCCATCATGGCCGACCGTGGTTTCGACATTGCCGATCTGCTACCGGAGGGTGTCGATCTCAACATACCCCCGTTTCTTGGTTCTCGAGATCAGCTTGATGAAGAAGAGGTGATCGAAACTCGGCGTATTGCTAGCGTGCGTATTCATGTGGAGAGAGCAATGGAAAGGATCAAGAACTTCAGGATAACTCACTTCTTATCTTCCGTGTTGTGCCCTTTGGCTGAGCAGATCATATTTGTGTGTGCATTCCTCACTAACTACATGGAGCCCCTGGTACCTCCGCCTGTTAGTAAGCCATCGACACAGTCTGCACACTTTTCCTCTGCTGCAGAAGTTGCCCAGATATCACCAGATGCAAACATTTCTGCAGCGGCTGTTTCAGCTGGCACATTTCTTTCACCTGCCATTACTGCTTCTGCTGCTGCTTCCGCTGCTACCAAGTTGTCATCTGCTGTAGCTGCTACTTCTGCTGCTACGAACGTGCCATCTCCTGTAGCTGCTACTGCTGCTGCTATCAGCGTGCCATCTTCTTCTGTAGCCGCTGCTGCCTATGTGACCACTCCCGTATGTTTGTTTTGCAAGCGCTCAGATGGCCCACTTCTTAGAGTTTGTAGGTCTTGTAACTCACGCTACCACCATATGTGTCAGAATGATGATGAAGATGGGCGTCTATGTAATTCTTGCTTTATGACCAGGCCGCTCTGTTGAAAGCTTTTTGCGCATGCCGATATTCCTACGTGGCCTCGGTATTTTCTTCCCCTCTTTTCTTTGTGTTATGTTGTGAGTAATGGTGCCCCTACACAATGATGCTTATTTCACTCAGGACTTCGTACTTCGAAGTAGAAGTAGTGATGCTCCTATTTGTCTGTTTGTGCTGTTCACCAGGTAGGAAATGTGGCCTGTGACTGCTGCAAGTGCCGCTTACTTTGAAGTAAATACGAATACTCATGTAACGTTCATGCCTTTTTGAACTCCGTTGTAACACGGAATGGCGAGCTATTGTAAACCAGTTGTACGTGCCGTTTTTTGTAGTGGTTACCAGTAATGGCAGTATAATTTACTATAACGCACTGTTTACAGCAGAGTTCCACCGTCTTGGGTACATGTATACAACACTACCTAATCATGTACAAATGCAGGAAGCCGGTAGCTGATGGAACTATCCACCATCTAATCACGGCGTTTATATCAAGAAGGAGCTACAGAACAGAAAAAGCTATAATAAAGAACATAGAGTGCAGCGTATAGAACAGTTCAGACACACTTACAGAAGAAAAGATTGCCACAAATCAGGTAAGAATGTAAACAGTCAAGACTACAGGAACTGGAGCAAAGTGAGCAATGGTCATCTCAGATGACGAGGAATATATCTATTACCAAGAAACTTGATCACAGAGCCAGTTTCGGGAGAACATGATCAAAATAAAATGTTCGGCAAGCTGCGAGAGTTTTCTTGACATGCACTTCACAAAATGAAATGCGCTCAACAAAAAGATCATTGCAGGGAGACCACACTACAAAGTCACAAAATTGAAGGCCTGCAGCAAAGAGCTGCATTTGCACTTGTGTATAGTAGGCATGTGTTGTTTTGAGAGAAAGCACACCATCCTTGTTGGACAAACAAAATGATGCAGTAGACCCAGCTACCTCTGCTAGACTTTGGTCTCTAGCAACAAACGGGCATTTAATCTCGAGCAAAAGTGATGTATCACCATCCCTAACAATGCCATCGGGACTGGCACCAAACCAGCATTCATCAGCATGCACAAATAAGCCACATGCAACAACATCTATCAGCTTGCCAGACTTGGCTTGGTGGGCTACGTAGGCACATCGTGCCTCTTCTTCATGATCAATCCCCCATCTGGTTGCAGGAGTGGTGAACGCCGGCCGATCAATGATAGTTTTTATGAGGGATGACGGGTCAGTCTGAGGTCGTCGATGAGCTACAGTATGGGCAATGGAAGCTGTAATACGCTTCTTTCGTTCATTCCTCCAGAGTTCACTTGTTGTTTGGGATGCAGTGGCTTCTTGCAGGGCATTGGCTTCTTCACAAGTAAGAATGACATTGGACTCGTACCACAGCATCTGCTTGTCCTCAGTTAGCCACTCGCAGTCAGATGGCACAGGTGTCACATCACCTGATCTGCTGTGCTCAACCTGCCACTTTTCCTTCTGTTCCCCTGCCCTAGCCAGTCTCTCCTTTTTCTGCGCTTGGGCTCTGTGCAACCTGTCCTCCTTCTGCTTAGCAGCAAATCCTGAGCTACCAGCAACAAGAGGCAATGCTAGGTGGATGGAGTTGGAGTGAATGGTTGAGTTGGCGTATTCCTCCACACGCCGGGCAAAGTCCATCCGCTTTGCAACAGCACGAGGGTCAAGTACTTCTGCAGCAGAATGCTTACGTTTCTTTGGCGCAGATTTGTCAGTGGTACTGCCACCTCTACGCCACTCCATGTCTTGAACCAGCATGGGCTCACTCTTTTTACCTGCACCTGCAGGAGGCTGGTTCCACTTTTGCAGCATGTCCGTGCACGTCGGAGCGTCACTAAACCCAAGCAGAGTGAACTCGGACAAGCCATACATCAGTGCAGCTATATGCTTGCAACTGGCAGTAACACCCTTGCCAGCAGGACAAGTGCACTGAGCACCAACAACACTGGTGGCAGATCCTGAGTCACACTGAGCAACGAGCCGAAGTTTGTAGTCAGCTTTGGTCTTCATTTCAGGCTGACAGCGGGCACGGTAGTACACACGGCTGTTGGCCTTCATCAGTTCGATTTTCTGGACATAACCTGCTCGATACAGACGAATTGACTTGCTATCAGTGGCAGCAAGCGCTTTGAAATTCTTGGCAGGTCCATCGCTGGTCATAGTGTCCACGAAATAAGAAACCATAGTTTGCATGGAGAACGACAGGGAGAGTAGCCTTCCACTCGCAGATTTAATCGGCTGCCACCCAGTAACAGGAAAATCCAGAGGGTCGTGGGGAATAACAGCAAGCGCTGCAGCTGGCGGAGGTGGCCCTTCCTTGCCATCACCGTCGCCTTCAGAGAAATGCTGAGCAAGTCTGTAAACGACACGAGCAGATAAATAACAAACTCAGATTCACAAATAATTTCAAAAAAATAAGATTTTGTTGTGGGAAGAAAACAACTCACCTCGCAACTAGATCGGCTTTCTTTCCCGACTTCTTGAGACCATACTCTCCACACTTCACCTTCAGAAGGTTCAAGGTGAGCTGGGAAAAATCCTGACTGACTGCCATCTTCCTGTCAACTAATATCGAAACTGTCTTCCACTGCAACGACTGAAAACAAAGGAGAGCCTCGCGTCGAGCAAGTTGCCCCGCACAAAGGTGCGAAGTCGCGATGGCGACCTGGCCGCCATGTTTTATGCATAGGTGCCATTATGAGAAGATACGAAACCGCTTAGCACTAGGGAAGCAACAGATCATTGAGCTTCAATTCATTTGGAAATCGCCATCACTTTCTTTGCCTACTAAATTTCGTTTTGTTAGGTCTATTGTGCTAGCGACTGTTTTATACGGATGCCAATCTTGGACATTATCTGCCTCATCAATGAGAAGAATTTCATCCTTCGAGATGAAATGCTTCCGCCGACTCTTAGGAGTAACATACCACGACCGGCGTACCAACCAATCTATCCTGGAAGAAATCAATGACATCATCGGAGCAAGCATGCGGCTAGCGAGCGAAGTCAAGAAATTTAAGTTGATGTGGTTTGGCCATGTTACGGGACGTGACGTTTTCTCCAAGCCCTTCCTGGAAGGATCAACTCCTGGATCTCGACCGAGAGGAAGGCCCGCGACATCATGGATTTCTAACATTAAAAGTTGGACGGATCTTCCCTTGCATGCTCACTCTAATGCAGCACACGATAGAGTTGGATTCAGAGACATCATTCACAATTCTCTCGCTGATTAATGCCTCTACGATCACCTTGTGATTATGAGTTATACATACATACATACATACATACATACATACATACAATTATCAGGATTATTTGGGGCTCCAAAGGGACACATGTTAAGGACAGTGCTTGGAATTTTCACCGAACTTTGGATAGCCTCCTGTTGCACAATAGCCAGGTTTCCTCCCTTGTTATTGTTATTATTATTATTATTATTATTATCCAAGTCGTAGTTTGGAGGCGGTGAAACAGGGTTTCGCAATCTGTACCTTCGCATGCAAAGACGCAAATCCACGCAATCACGTAGAAACTTCTATCAAACGTTTTCTTTCTCTTATCTTCAGGATAGTACAGGGAAGAAAAGGGAAAGAAAACGTTTGATAGAAGGAAGTGTCTACTTGTTTGTTTGGATTTGCGTCTTTGAATGCGAAGGTACAGATTGCGAAATTATTATTATCAAGAGCACATGAGATGATATACATGTGTAGTATCCCTGCCCGACCAATACGGAAGCAGTACGGAACTAATACGGAGCTTTGCCTGATGTATATTTAGTGTATCTCCGTATGTAAGCGTACGGCAGCTGCTGCATAAAAGCGGCTGCGCATTTCTGTTTTGATGAATATTAGATTAGATTAGATAGCAATGAAAGCTAACTCGAAGAAGAAGGATTCAACCTCTAGGTGAGCACCGGAGAGAAAGTCAGTTATTTTGCCGCTTCTTCTTTCACGAACGATTATATCTCAGGTGTGTACCTGAAAGTAGAATAAAAGTAATTCTTGTTGATTTCACCGCGCCTACCACTCGGCTACCCATTACATTGGTGGCAGCGGTGTAGTTTTAAATAAAACAACGTGATTCGACCCCAGACCCCCATGGCTCAACCCGCTGCAGCTCCGTGCGACGAATCAAGATGAGAATCATGGTTCTTGCTTTCCTGGGCCTGGCCATGCTTATTAGCCTGCAGCACAGTCAGGGTGCTAACGTGGATCACCATTCTTTCCGCACGGCACACACTGGAGACTCCGATGGCGATTCCAAGCGACCCGCCACCTACATGTTAACTACTGGTGGTGATGGCGAAGCTGATGAGGACGACAACAGGCAGGCTGCTGCCCAAGACAAGGAGGGTATTCCCCAAGACCAGCAGCGTTTGATTTTCGCCGGCACGCAGTCGGAAGCAGGAGCCCACTCTTCACTTGGTACTTCGCCTCCGTGGTGGGATGCAGATTTTCGTCAACACTCTTCCTTCCTGGCTAGACCATCACTCTTTACGTCGTGCAAAGCGATGCTATCGACAATGTGAAGACCACGATTCAAGACGAGGAGGGAGGTCATTTGTCTGACGCCGAGCTAGCCGCTCTGAGTGACCAGCTCAACCAAGATGAAGATAAAACCTGGCTTGCCCTCGGCCGTAGCTTCAGCCTCCGCCGTGGTTACTAACGCTGATTCTAGGTATGGCATTTTCTTTCCTCTCTTCCTTCAGTCTCCCTGTTCTTTTCAGTCTTCCTTTATGCGAGTGTGTGAATCCAGTTTAGTTTGGTAGGCGTCTGATCATGGTGAGCCACGGCTTACCCAGCTAACGTGGGACAATGTGTGTGACAACGCCCCTTATAGTTATAGTGTATTCAGTTCGGTTTTTGAACTGCGATGTTCCTGGCGGGTTGTGCCAGCGTTGTGCAGCAAGAGTGCTGTGGCTTCAGGTCCTATTTTGAGGACAGTTCTTTCCCCTTTTGACCCCGTGAGACCGTGTGAACCTGGTGTGCTTCTACTTTATGATTTGTTATTAGTTCATTTCTTCTGTCTACTCTAAACGTTATCATTTCCGATATAAATTGCCATCTTCCGGTTGACGCTGTGTTCGTAACTCCTCACTAATTTTTTGAAAATCACGAGGGCGTGATTATCTGTAGGAAGGGAGGGTGTAGTATCCCTGCCCGACCAATACGGAAGCAGTACGGAACTAATACGGAGCTTTGCCTGATGTATATTTAGTGTATCTCCGTATGTAAGCGTACGGCAGCTGCTGCATAAAAGCGGCTGCGCATTTCTGTTTTGATGAATATTAGATTAGATTAGATAGCAATGAAAGCTAACTCGAAGAAGAAGGATTCAACCTCTATGTGAGCACCGGAGAGAAAGTCAGTTATTTTGCCGCTTCTTCTTTCACGAACGATTATATCTCAGGTGTGTACCTGAAAGTAGAATAAAAGTAATTCTTGTTGATTTCACCGCGCCTACCACTCGGCTACCCATTACACATGTACTCTTGTTAGTACTAGTAGTGGGAACAGCTGACACAAACAACACACCTGTGGCTGCAGAAGTGCAAATTTGTATTTGTTCGAATACTGCAGTTCGCGCTGTGCAATTCTCTTGCAAGAAGAAAACCAAAGGTCCAGCTCAGAACATCCAACTTTGGCCAAATTAAGGTTCTAAAAATTAATTAAATTTGCACTGCGTAACATGCTGCCCTACTAGTACCTTGCTTCACCGCTAACATTGGCAACGGTTAATTCCGGCCTCTTCAACTTTCGATAAACACCTTCTAACGTTATAATAAGATTATAAAGAACTTTACTTTATTATTGTTTGCAAGCAACCTGCCTACACTCAAGAGAGCACTGCATTTCCCACAAATCCATTCGAGTTATCGTTTCAACGTTTCGGTCTTCATGACCATCATCATGAATGAAGTGGACATGGAAAAAACAGCAGTATAACTTCACTTTAATTTAGGTTATGATTAAGCTGACCAACCCATATCCTGTTTGAACAGGCTGCACAGGCATAGGATATGCGCTGCCTGCTCCACTGTCTGCATCAGAGGCCACAGCATGAGCTCCATGACTTGCTAGCGTGCTACTTGTAAGCGTTGGAGGCGCTGGCGGCAGGACGACGCTCTCAATCCCTGTTCCAAAGAGATACGACGCTGATGATTTCTCCCTGAACGCTGTAGGCAAGTGACGGATATAGAGTGACAATGGTTTGACTTAATGCAAAATAAGTATCAGGAAGCAAAAAATTCAACCCGGCAATGACTGTGAACCATTCAGCATTTATCAATATGATTACTGGAGTCACCAAGTATTACTTCAGTAGTTGCTTTACACGTGTCAACCCAGTGGTCTGCGAGCGGATGCGGAGGATTTTTATGACAGCCGCTAAAGGATTTTCTAGATCTCTATCAAAATAATATATTACACTACAATGTAGGCTAGAAGAAGGAAGACTAGCTAGAGCTGGGACACCCTTGTGAAGTACGCTGGTGAAAACATGGCCTTCCCACTATACACGCTCCAGGCAACACCACCCAGAATTTGGCTGCTGATTCGGCGTTCATGCTTTCATAACAACATGAATGTATTGAAACAAGTACAGTGTAGCTCGTGGTGGATCTGATCTATCCTCCCTCACCGTTTAGGAGCCGCATCTGACGCCTGATCGTGGGGTGGTGGCGTCCCACGGAAGCGGAAAGGTGGTTCGTGACCAGGGAGTTGTACAACTCCTTGTTCTTGACCTGCCCGGTAAGCGAACCCGTCGATTTTTTTTCTTTTTTTACAGTGTAGTTTTTGCCTCAGGCACTGAGCACTCTTTTGGACAATCTGAAAATTCTATGTCTTTATCGCATAGTATTGCATGTTTGTTGCGCTCAATTTGTTTTGCATTTTGTTGCCCTCTACTTGGACAGTCACAATAATTGTACTACAAAGGTGTTCCATACCTACCAACCTATCCAAACCTGAGCCTCGGGATGAGGCCGGGACAATGACATACGAGTACCTAGGTATGAAATGTATTCACGTAAGCTGTGAGGCATGCGACAAAATACACTTTTCGTGCCTATTCCCACCATCGAAATCCGGGAAACTCGGGATGATTGCAGGGACATGTATGGTGTTCGCACGGGGATAGAATCGGAGAACTGGTAATAAACATAGTGAGTGCACTCGATTATGTCCGCGAATCGATGTTGAATCCATTCATGAATCGCCCTGGCTATTCACATCACCCATGTGAAAAGGGTGAATGAATTCCGAACCAATTCCAGGGCTCATGACATGAAATCGAACTACGGGATTCCAGACATGAATCGATTCATGGCAGTAATCGAACGCACCCAGTGCATTCTCCATGGCTTCCTTACATTCAACGCTCAACTGGCCCAACTCGCTTGCAGCCTTCTGAGAGTTCTCCTGTATCCATGAGCGCATCTCACGGAACGTTTCCGAAATGCGCACTGCCACATTGCACCACAGTGACTCACGAACACCACTAAACTGCCAGAAGCCCACGTGAATAGCAACGGCCACGAACTCGTCATCATCTGTGATTGTATAGATTGGCGAACCGCTCTGGCCACCGCTTGCGTCGATGTAGTGTCGATACAGGTTCTTCACCGCCAATGCAGCATTGCTATCCCACTTCTTGACGCCATCAGGTGCCGTGTTGCTATGGTGACGCTGAGGCATCGAGAAAAGAGAGGAGGTGGATCTTTCCTTGCCACTTCGGACAGAACGCTCCAACGGCTGGTCTTGGAGATCTTCTCCTTTCTTGCTCTCGCTTTCACCCACCCAGTAAAGGTTACCTCGCACATTCTTGCCCTTTACTTCCCCTGCGTATCCACACAGATATGCCTTGTCAATAAATTCATGGCGTGTGTTGGGCTTTCGAAACATAGCGCCGTTTTGGATTAGTTTGTCGAGCTGTGCACAGACGTCATCATTGATAAATTCCTTTCGCAGAGCGATCACTCCAAAGTCGTACGGGTAGCGATCGTAGACTTGATGTTTCTCACTGCAGTGTTCGCTATAACCTGGAGAAACGGCTAGCCACCCAGCCTCGCTGTCACGCCAAATGAACGTCTTCTTACCCGACGGGTAGGCTTCCACGGGCGATTCATCCTCGGGCTTCCAGTTCCACGCGATCTTGATATAGCTGTACTCGGCATGAGTTGCACAATAGATCACGTGCGCTGCCGTTGTGAAATAATAAGCAGTGTCTGCGTTACGCACCCGGTTCAACTCCTCCAGCAGAAAGCATGTGCCCGGTGCGATCATGTTGCATCCGCGACATGCGGAGAAGACTTGGAAAATGGACGAGTGAGCGACATGCTTGCTTTGTGTGCGGTCAGAAATCGCTGTTCGACGGTCGAGTGAACTGAAGACTTTCTCTTCACCGCGCACTTGGTCCATCGCTTTGCTCTAGACGACGGACTGCTTTGTGACAGCAGCACACTAGATCACAATCACTGCATGAACTAGCGTTCCTGAAATGCTGAGAGTCGATCAAAGGCACAGCAAGAACATGAGCAGTTTACCAGGTAGAGGCTTCGCACACCCCCACCAGGCTTTGAAATCAGAATTTGGAGCAACACGGTCAACAAAAATGATCAGCCTTTTGTTTCTTGTCAGGGATTTTCTCCTTCCGACCTGCACATGGGGTTTTCAAAATTATTAGAATTTCCTGACCAGCCTGCAGACGGCCATGATGTCGCCGAGAATGGATTTCTAGTCGTGCCGGATGTGTGACAAACACAGAAACTGAACAGTGTTTGTTTCACGGCGTGGCGGATGTGTTGGAACTAACTTGGTCTAAAGTCTTTAAAAAAGACTTGAGATCATGTTAGTGCGAGTCATGTCATCGGCAGGCCTCGAGCGATTTCAGTTCCTCTTCTCGAGTTTTGGAGCATATTCTCCACGTTCTGCTTTGCCATTGTCGAAGTCTGGCAGCGTTTCATCTCTAAAGAGATAAGCGCACATTTCAGTGGCGCGGAGGAAGCAAAAACAAATATTAAATTTGTATCACCGTGTCGCCAGGGCGACGGACATCTCGTAACCCCACTTTTCAAGTAGCTGAGCCTTGCTTTTATTGACGAAAATTACAAGATGAAGGGGTTGGTGCGACTTTGGCGATAGTTTCGGAAGTATGTGTTGCTTTCTACATGGGAGCTCGCTCAAGTTTCCTGCCGACTTTAATTCTCCCTTAACTGATTCACGACAGCCAACAAGAGCACACCAGAAGTCCATCGAACCGTCGATTCGGCAAACCTGCAAGAAAGCACCACTCCCTGCTCAATACACAGTGTTTCGGGGAATTCACCCTTCATCAGTTGTTCCTGGCTCGTCAAACGACTGCCAATGACAAAATGAATGTGAAATGAAGCGTGATAATCAACCACGGCGAATATCCGAAATTTTGCAAATACAACGACATGTTCAGCGCTTCTCCATCATTAGCAAATCGTGTTCTCAGCTTACGTTTTTGAAAGGTTTTAACCTGACAAAAAGGCGTCAAAACAACTGAATGTCCTCACAAGGACAAGGGATCGCCCTGCGTTTTTCCTCAAGGGATACAACGCTGCTAGCTACAGACCAAGTTTCAGGACATCGGTACCTGTTGGACGTTCTCTCATCTATTGGAGAGCACACTCTGTTTACCTCTATGTACTAACTTTTCTGGCTGTTATTTTCTAGACGAAGAAGGCTGGTCCAAAATGTACGTCGAACATGGACGCTACACAGAAGCGCTAAGTTCATTTTGTGTTGATTCCAAAGAGATGAGCGCGAGAATAAATAATTTTTGCGTGTGTTTGTGTATGTTCATTGTGTGTGTGAGTGTGTGTGTGCGTGTGTTTGCTGTTTGTGTGTATATGTGTATATGTGTATGTACGTCTGTTTGTGTTTTCTGTTTGTGTTTGTGGGTGCTTGCGTGCACGTATGCACGCTTGTGTTTATGTTCTGCCTGGAAGCTACTCAAGGTCAACTGGGAACTCATGGCCACGTACAAGGGGTACATGGATGCGGCGGATTATGCTCGCGACATCAAGGAATTGTGCTTTCATGGATTCTCGCATTATGCTCGCACAGTCTTCATATTACATGTATGCTTTGGCATGCTGGGATACATATTCACTTTGTTGTACTTATAGGGAGCCTCAAAGTTCTGAAGATTGTGCCTTTTTCGTACTTGCCAGTGGCCATAACTACACCAAAAGGTTACATGAGTACCCCCATACCAAGATGTCCATGTATGCTAGAGATCAACATGGAAAAGAGAAAACCTTACTTCTTCTATCGATTAGTTTACTTCTTTTGTACTTGTAAAAAGACTTTTTCATTGCCAAATCAGTTTGAGGTACCTTAGAAAATTATCATGTCCAACTGTCTTGATAATCGTCACACTCGTCCAATCGATGTCACCTTCATCCTGCGATTTATCAGCTCATCTCTCCCGTAACTCAACCTCTCCTTCCATGATGACCGAACATCAACTATACCTCGATATTTTTTACAAAACAAAAACAACAAGGACAATTAAGGCTTGTTTACTGCTACTTCAAGTTTCATGCTCTCGCAATCATCAGACAACATGAGGATGGGGTGATCGAGCATGAAACTTCTTGCTGTTTTGTGTTACGCTCTGCCTCCGCGGTGTTGAGCACTGTCGGCATACTGTGTACATCCTCCGGTCAATTTTTTTAGATAAATATATGAGCATTATCCATAGCCTGCGCAGTCATGGCTGCTAAAACCACGACTTCGTATCATGCATAATGTACATGAACGCGGAGTTTTGCGGACTACCCATCACTATCTCGTCCACCCCAGGATACCTGATAAAGGCTGATTTACTCACATCTACTACATGTACTGTATCAGCGTGAGATAGGACTTTGAAGAAGACCAGTTCGAGCATACAATAATGTACTGCCATGATTTTTTCCCTGCTTTTCATTGACAACACTATCTGCATGACCTCTGAACCCTTTACCATGCTGACCACCAGCACAGACCCGGTGCATTGTACACAATAGTGTAGCCTACAAACTAGAGCTGTGGCACAATCATGCTCTCTCTCTCTCTCTCCCTCCCTCTCTCTCTCTCTCCCTCTCCCTCTCCCCTCTCTCTTTCTCTCTCTCTCGCTCTCTCTCTCTCTTTCTCACTTCATCTCCCTCCCTCCCTAGCTGCATTCCTATCGATGCCTGGTCGTAGGGTATGATTCCGAGACCTCCGGTCGGATGAGCCTCGCCAACCACATCGGCACATCACCCATACTTCCCTTTGTCTTGTTGTCCAGTGTCATTTCAGTTGTCCTCTTCCCCTGACTATTAGTTGGGCTGTGTTTTTAGTAAAAAAAATGTAGTTATGCTCCTACTTCCGAAAGGATGCCAAATTATGCTTCAAATTTTCAACCACCAAATTAAGCCAAAAGTTATGCCGGCATTATCCGCCGGTGCCTAACGGCTAATGGGGTTTCTCGACAATTGTGCCAGTGGCTGTGAGACCTAACGACTAATCCCCACCGTTAGGCGCTGCATCTGCCGCTAGGATTTGTCGGGTGTTAGCGGCCGTTGTGAGTTACCTTCGGGAACGGACACGATAATTTACAAAATTTACTTTCACAGAACAGTTGTTATGTACAAGTACATGAAAAATGTCCTCTTGAAAATATTTTCCAAAAAAGAACTTAAAAGACAACATGTCACAGTGCTCAATAGCGCAATACGCCGATCACAAGATCACGTGATAACAAGACGGAGAGTGAATTGTAACGTTAACTCTCGGCTCCAGGTTCGTACCGAGTACATGTATATGCACATGCATAGCATTGGTCAGTAGATTATTTTCATACAATGTACACTACCGCACATCCGTGACGCCGAGACCTCAGGTCGGCAGAGTCATCAATGCCCCACCATCACTGCTGCGTCTCGGTGCAGCGCCTGCTCATTAGTTGTCACGTTTGTCCTAGTCTCTGTACCATTGTCTTTCCTCATTCATTTCGAACTGGTTATGTGAACATAGTAAAACGTCCATTGTATTGTGTTGCACTGATCTCAGTCTCACTAAGGCGGACACGCTGACTGGGGTGCCGGGGTACCTGCACTCTGCGCAATGTATTATGTAATAATGATACATGGTACATTGTCCACGTACTTGTACACATGTACTCCATGTGGCAACGTGAATATACATGTACATTGGAGAAGGGTAGGTGTATAAATGTAGCATTCATTTCAACTAAGAGACTGACATGCTAACTGGTTTGAGGGAAAGAGACAAACGGGAAAAGTCTGAAGAAAAAATTCACTGCCACCACCAGGACTCGAACCAGGGACCCTCGCTTGTAGCCAGCGATGCTCTAACCACTGAGCTATGGTGTAGTCGTCATCCCAGCAGAGCCCGTTCAACATTTTCTTCAGACTTCGTAACTCACACTTCCTGTGAATCCACACAGGCGGGTGGGACGCAGCCCTCACTGTAACCCACACACTTCATGTACAAACTAGCACGCGGGGAGCCCCAAGTCATAAAATATTAACTGGTTTGAGGGAAAGAGACAAACGGACATGCATGTACATTTTGTATAGTGGTGGTGCATCTGAGAATAGAGGACACCTGTTAATCAAGGACATTTGCGCTCAGTCTCATGAGTGTCCGTTATTGTCAGGTTTGACTGTAGTAACGATTCATGGTAGTGTGAGATGTACATTGTACAGTTCCAACAGAAGTGCAGGTGATCATGCTATCGCCAAGCAAACAGACGATCGTGGGATAGGAAGTTGTACGTTGGGAGTAGTATGGTCCTAAGTCTAGTGATGGAGTTTCTAGGTTATTGAAAAGTAACACTTGGTTTCATGGTGACGTTTTGACACCAGGTGCGACCTCTTGTTTAGAGACGTCAAAAATGTCAAAACCAACTAGCAGTTACACCACAATGCTAACATGTTATCCATCATCACGGCGCGCCAAAACAAACATCATCAGCAGAGAATAGACACTGCGGCCGACACCTCAAGCTACACGCATCCCAATGATGGCCATACCCCTCCCCCCCCCCCTCGCCCCTCTACCCCTGGTGTAAATCCAAACCTGACAAATGTATGTTTGCTCCGCGATGACACTATCACCTGCACTTTTCTTTGTGCTATCAATATCACACCACCATGAATCTAGGCCCATTATTAGTTGAACGGGTCACATTGTAAGAACATTGTCTATTGATGCTTGCTGTATTCACAAGGCCTGTTTGGAGACTCATCGTCAAAAGTCATCGTCAAAAGTCATTGTACAGAGATGTCGTGCATTGGGGAGCGGGATGCCAATGAGCTGGATGCCAAAGAGCTGGATGCCAAAGAGCAGAACGACCAAGAGCCGAACTGGCAAAAGCACGACGACCAAGAGCTAGTGTCAAAAGCTGAAAACCTGCCATGCTGCGATTCCCATCATGCTAAAGTTCATCACATCAAAGAGCCCGACGCCCAAGATCGGGATACTGAAGAGCTGGACGCCCAAGAGCGGGATACACAAGAAATGGACGCCCAAGAGCGGAGTACTCAACACGACCAAACCCAAAAGCGGCCATGCTTGGATCCTAGAGACCGAAGGAGTGAGGCCGAAGAGATTGAGGCCGAAGAAATTGAGGCCGAAGACAGTGAGGCCAAAGGGAGTGACGCGCAGATGAGTGACGTCCAAAAGAGTGATGCCCCAGAGAGTGATGACGGGGAGCATCTTCCCCAAGTCCTGCGATTTGTCAAATCGTATGAGCTGTTCCAACAGATGAAGCAGCATGACGAGCAGGAACAAGAGAGTGACGCGCGAAAGAGTGACGTCCAAAAGAGTGACGTCCCAGAGAGGGATGCCCAAGAGAGTGACGCACCAGGGAGTGACGCCGAAGAGAGTGACGTCGAAGAGAATGACACCGAAGAGAGTGATGTCGAAGTAAGTGACGCGCAAAAGAGTGACGCGCAAAAGAGTGACGCTCAAAAGAGTGACGTCCAAGAGAGTGACATGGAAGAGAGTGACGCCCCAGACAGTGATGACCGGGAGCATCTTGCCCAAGTCCAACAGTATGAGCTGTTCCAACAGATGAACCAGCATGACGAACCGGAAAAGCGGGATTACCAACAGGGAGACGTTCAAGAGTGGGAGAAATTGAAAGAAAGGTGGGAGAGATTGAAAAACCAATGCGAGCGGGAGGTCCAACAGGTGGAACAGGGGAAGCTACGTTTCCAACAGCAAGAGGCGAACATATCGAAGTGGAAGCGGGCGGCCCAAAAATGTGAGCGGGACGCTCAACCGCGGAAGCGGGATTGTGACCCACAGTTGGAGAGGGATGTCCAACTGCCGGAGCGGGAGCTCCAGGCCCAACAGCGGGAGTGGGAGCTGCAGATCCAAAAGCGGGAGTGGGAGCTGCAGGTCCAAAAGCGGGAGTGGGAGCTGGAGGTCCAACAGCGGGATCGGGATCTCCGTGTCCAAAAGCGGGAACTGCACGTCCAACGTCGGGAATGGGAGCTGAAAGTCCAACAGCTGGAGTCGCAGATGAAGGCCCAACAGCGGGATTGGGAGCTGAAGGTCGTACAGCGGGAGCAGGCGGTTCACCAGCGTGAGCGGGCGGTTCAGCAGCGTGAGTTCAGCAGCCATAAGCAGCGTTAGTCGGACGTCCAAAAACCGGAGTTCCAAAAATGGAGCGGAAGGTCCGACAAATGGACGTCCCAAAAGGAGATTAGGAAGTAGCGTGCGCAGTGAGACTGCCACAAGCACAGCCATTCTGGGATACTGATTCTGATTCTGATGGCCAACAGCGGGAGCGGGACTGAGAGGCCGTACACCAAAGTGAAGGACGCGGAAATGCTGGACACAGAAAAGACGGCAATGCTTAGATACCGTACCAATTTTCAAGCATGACATTGTACATGTCCCTGTCCACCAACCATCGCTGGATGATGGTCAGTGACATAGAATACTATCGTGTACTCATGTATGAATTTCCAGCAATGTTGCATAGCTTGTTCACATACTGTATCCATCACACATCTTGATTACTAGCATTTTCTTTTCTTGTCTAGATACGTACGCCGTATACTTCCTGTGTCATGTCTTGTCAGCTGAACTTCGTTCTCAATTCTCTGCCAAGTGCAAGACGAACATGTATTATGCTGGAACCACTCGTGTGCCATACTTTTTTAGTACACTTTTCCGCACAAGAACTAACACTCGCCAAAATAAGTTATAAAAACTGAATATACGGCAATGTGTCATGTTTAAAGGGGAAGTTAAGGCAAAAATATGAATTTCACCAGTTGTAGTCTTCGGGGTGCTGAGTCGAATGGTCTTGGCCCGAGAAAGCTGAGACGCTCCGTTCCTACTTGAATCCCAATCGAACTCGCGCACTTCCACCGAAACTGGGTGACTGCGCCCTACTAGATGGGGATTTGTATGCAAAATGTCACTTAAAGCGCCATTTCGTTACTATAAAAGCACGGATGACCGCGATTGGCCCATATGTTGCAGTCTTTTGGACGCTGAGTCGATTGGTTTTGGTCCGAAAAGGCTGCGATGCAGCGTTCCTCCTTTATTCCCAATCGCACATGGTTGAAGAAGCGGTCACGTGCTCCTGGGTGCCCAAATCACCTGGTCACCACGCCAGCAGGCGACAATTTTCACACCAAGGTTCAACTCGAGTTCAACTCGAGTGACAGGACTGCACCCAAAAAAGGTCAAACAGGCTAGTAAGTTGTACGCTGCAGGCACGGTGACCAGGTGACTGGTGTACGCAGGAGCACGTGACCGCTTGTTCAACCACACGCTGCCTCCACCCTATTCACTAGATCCCCGATCTTTGCTGGCTATGTGTTTTGGGCAACATTACCAACGCAGGCCAAGACCAGCACGTCCATGGATAATTTTGTTGCTAAAATCTCTCCTCAATTATAGGTTTCATGTATATCCTGCTGGTTTGTCTCCTCCTTTGCCTTCTTTGCCTCTTATTTGTATTCTTTCATCTGTTTTACTGCTGTGGTTGGCTTTCACCCTTGTCTCAGTTTTACTGGCCGTCATCATGATGTGCCATGAGATAATGATGATAAATACAAATACAAATAACCATGTTCGATTGGGAATAAACGAGGAACGCTGCATCGCAGCCTTTTCCGACCAAAACCAATCGACTCAGCGTCGAAAACACAACAACATAGGGGCCAATCGCGGTCATCCGTGCTTTTATAAGAACGAAATGGCACTTTTAGTGACATTTTGCATACAAATCCCCATCTCGTAGGGCGCAGTCACCCAGTTTCGGTGGAAGTGCGCGAGTTCGATTGGGATTCAAGTAGGAAGGGAGCGTCTCAGCTTTCTCGGACCAAGACCATTCGACTCAGCACCCCGACGACTACAACTGGTGAAATTTTAATTTTTGTCTTAACTTCCCCTTTAAACATGTGTACTGGTGTGTTTATGTGCATGTGTGTGTGTGTGTGGACGAGAGGGGGGGGGGGTGTCCTGTTTTTTCTTCTTTAGTACGCATATTTGTACGTACATGTATGTCCTGTGTTTTACTAGGCAAATTCACCTTCATGTAACATATTCACACCGATATGTTAACTTTCTCAGTGTCATTAGTTAACTGTTTTCATACACTAAGGTGAAAAGGCATAGTGGTGGCCTGCGGGAGCGAAGGCTATACCTTGTGCGTTTCTGAACATTCAAGTGATGCTAACGCTTCAATAAAATAAATACCGGTATGCAGTGGATATTTTGTCGTTCATAACCCTGATGATAGGCCAGGCTCGAAATGTTGGTGTAATGAAAATTTCAATTTGAATCGCTGTGAAGAGACAGGTTTTGGAGTTGAGAAGTGAAGTTTCCTATAATTCATGTATAAAACTAATAGTATCTCCTGAAAATGATGCGACGGACTGTGAGGCTGAGATCTTAGTAGGGGGTAAATGAGTTTAATATCATTCGGGCAATTGGTTTCTTTACTGCATAAGGAATTGTGATGCAGTTTACTTCAGGCGGCAGACAGTTCCAGCGCACACTACTCAAAGTTCTGAAGATTGTGCCTTTTTCGTAATTGCCCGTGGCCATAAGTACACCAAAAGGTTACACGAGTACCCCCATACCAAGATGTCCATGCATGCTAGAGATCAACATGGAAAAGAGAAAACATTACTTCTTCTATTCATTAGTTTACTACTTTTGTACTTGTAAAAAAACTTTCATTGCCAAATTAGTTTGAGTTACCTTAGAAAATTATAATGTTCAACTGTCTTCGTAATCGTCACACTCGTCCAATCGATGTCACCTTTATCCTGAGATTAATCAGCTCATCTCTCCCGTAGCTCAACCTCTCCTTTCATGATGACCGAACATCAACTATACCTCGATATTTTTTACAAAACAAAAACAACAAGGACAATCAATGCTTGTTTACTGCTACTTCCAGTTTCATGCTCTCGCAATCACCAGACAACATGAGGATGGGGTGATCGAGCATGAAACTTGAAGTAACCGCAAACACGCCATGATTGTCCTTGCTGTTTTGTAATACGCTCTGCCTCCGCGGTGTTGAGCACTGTCAGCACAATGTGTACATCCTCGGTCAATTTTTTTAGATAAATATATGGGCATTATCCATAGCCTGCCCAGTCATGGCTGCTAAAACCACGACTTCGTATCATGCATAATGTACATGAACGCGGAGTATTGCGGACTACCCATCACTATCTCGTCCACCCCAGAATACCTGATAAAGGCTGATTCACTCACATCTTCTACTACATGTACTGTATCAGTGTGAGAAAGGACTTTGAAGAAGACCAGTTCGAGCATACAATAATGTACTGCCATGATTTCTTCCCAGCTTTTCCTTGACAACACTATCTGCATGACCTCTGAACCCTTTACCATGCTGACCACCAGCACAGACCCGGTGCATTGTACACAATAGTGTAGCCTACAAACTAGAGCTGTGGCACAATCATGCTCTCTCTCTCTTTCCCTCCCTCTCTCTATCTCTCTCTCTCCCTCTCCCTCTCCCCTCTCTCTCTCTCTTTCTCACTTGATCTCCCTCCCTCCCTAGCTGCATTCCTATCGATGCCTGGTCGTAGGGTATGATTCCGAGACCTCCGGTCGGATGAGCCTCGCCAACCACATCGGCACATCGCCCCTACTCCCCTTTGTCTTGTTGTCCAGTGTCATTTCAGTTGTCCTCTTCCCCTGACTATTAGTAGGGCTGTGGTTTTAGTAAAAAAAAGAATGTAGTTATGCTCCTACTTCCGAAAGGATGCAAAATTATGCTTCAAATTTTCAACCACCAAATTAAGCCAAACGTTATGCCGGCATAATCCGCCGGTGCCTAACGGCTAATGGAGTTTCTCGACAATTTTGCCAGTGGCTGTGAGACCTAACCACAAATCCCCACCGTTAGGCGCTGCATCTGCCGCTAGGATTTGTCAGGTGTTAGCGGCCGTTGTGAGTTACCTTCGGGAACGGTCACGATAATTTACAAAATTTACTTTCACAGAACAGTTGTTATGTACAAGTACATGAAAAATGTCCTCTTGAAAATATTTTCCAAAAAAGAACTTAAAAGACAACATGTCATAGTACTCAATAGCGCAATACGCCGATCGTGATAACAAGACAGTCAGTGAATTGTAACGTTAACTCTCGGCTCCAGGTTTATACCATATACATGCACATGCATATCATTGGTCAGTAGATTATTATCGTACAATGTACACTACCGCACATCCACTGTACTGTGTTGCACTGACCTTAGTCTGACTAAGGCGGACACGCTGACTGGGGTACCGGGGTACCTGCACTCTGTACAATGTAATAATGATACATGGTACATTGTCCACGTACTTGTACACATGTACTCCATGTGGCAACGTGAATGGAATCATGTACATCAACATGTACCAAATATACGTTCGAGAAGGGTAGGTGTATGAATGTAGCATTCATTTCAAATAACAGAATGACATGCATGTACATTTTGTATAGTGGTGGTGCATCTGAGAATGGAGGACACCTGTTAATCAAGGACATTTGCCCTCAGTCTCATGAGTGTCCGTTATTGTCAGGTTTGACTGTAGTAACGATTCATGGTAGTGTGAGATGTACATTGTATAGTTCCAAGAGAAGTGCAGGTGATCATGCTATCGCCGAGCAAACAGACGATCGTGGGATAGGAAGTTGTACGTTGGGAGTAGTATGGTCCTAAGTCTAGTGATGGGGTCACAGGTCTAGGTTATTGAAACGTAACACTTGGTTTCATGGTCACGATTTGACACCAGGTGCGGCCTCTTGTTTAGAGACGTCAAAAATGTCAAAACCACCTAGCAGCTACACCACAATGCTAACATGTTATCCATCATCACGGCGCTCCAAAACAAACATCATCAGCAGAGAACAGACACTGCGGCCTACACCTCAAGCTACACGCCTCCCAATGATGGCCATACCCCTCCCCCCCCCCCCCCCTGGCCCTCTACCCTATGTGCAAATCCAAATCTGACAAATGTATGTTTGCTCCGCGATGACACTATCACCTGCACTTTTCTTTGTGCTATCAATATCGCACCACCATGAATCTAGGCCCTCTATTAGTTAAACGGGTCGCATTGTAAGAACATTGTCTATTG